CCTCGGCAAGAAACCAGCTGGAGCCCATGAATCCTTGGGTGGCCTAAACAAGGAAAGCTGCAACATTGCCACAAATGTGCTGAGCACAATCCACAACAGTGTAAATCAAAAGCATCACCTACACAGCCAAGCAAAGATTAGTCATCAGAGCGTGTTGAGCTGTCCTGACCAATCTCCAGCTGGGAACCTCGGGCAGGAGGAGAACTGAGAGAAGCCGGAGACCTTGACACTCCCGTCAACCAAGTAGATGGGGGCCGAAGGTTCCCCGGTCAAGAGCAAATCACTGTTTTGTCCGGCCAAACACAACCACGAGGGGAATATGGATCCTATGGAATCAAATGGCAGCAATCAGCGGAGAGATGCAGGGCTAGTGGGGTCGATCGTGGGGGTCCCCTCACCAGAGAACAGTCCCGATGGGATGAAACGTAGGAATGTGAGGAAAGGCTCAGGGCTTGTGGACACTCAGACCAGCTGCATCCGACAGATCCTGCTGCTGCAACTGGAATTGATTGAACAGCAGCAGAAGCAACTGCACAACAAGAGCAAAGAGATTGATGACCTTAAAGCTGAAAAAGAGATGGTAAGCTAATAGTATGAATATTTATGAAACGCTTAAATCAAGTGTTAAAGTGGGCATGTTCATAGTTTCCCACTTTTCTTATTTTGTAACACTTGTTTCACTTGTTCACCTAAACCCAATGCTTAATACATAACCTAACACAGGTGTGTGTTTGTAGCTAATGGCACGAATCATACGCATGGAGCGCCGTCTGCAGATGGTGAAAAAAGATGGAGCAGAATCCCGTCCTTCTCAGACTCATCGTCGTAGGGAACCTGAGGCCGAGGCCACTGCCTCAGACGACGTCCAGCATCCTGAGGGGCGGGTCCAAACCCCAAAGCAAATGCACTTTGGAAGAGGAGGGAAGAGCCTGAAAAGGTATGATCATGATTTTTTTTTGTTGAAATATTTTAATAAGTTCCAAACCTGTATGACTTTCTTTCTTCTGCAGAACACAAAAGAAGATATTTTGAGGAATATTGGTAACCAAACAGTTTTGGGTACCATTGACTTCAATTGTATGGACAAAAAAACACTGAGATATTACTCAAAATATCTTATTTTACATGAGGGTGAGTAAATGATGACAGAATTTTCATTTTTGGGTGAACCATTCCTTTAACATTTGTTCAAACTAATGTGCTCTACCTAATGAAGTTCTTAGCATTTAATTGATACAACTAAATGCACCCTAATTTTTCCCCCTCTTGAAGGAGGTTTCTTTTCCAAGACTCTCGGATGGATAGGTCACGACGTGGGCAGCCCAGGTCACCACAACCACCATCACAGGAGGGCCCAGATCTGAAAGAGGAACCCCAGGAAGAGATTGGGCTTGAATTGTCTCGTTCGGAGGAACTGCCCTATCTGGCTACCACAGAGATGTACCTCTGCTGCTGGCATCAGCCGCCACCATCGCCGTGGCGAGAATCTTCACCTGTACATGAGGACACAGTTGCAGGTGGGGAGACATTTATGTAATCTCTCTGTTAATGATTTGAATTATATACTGAAGTATAAAGATGTTCAGATTTATCATTGTTCTCTGTATGTAGTTCCATCCTGGCGGGAGAGTATCTTAGAGCCTTTAGGACAGAAAGAGTCGTCAGACATCCCTGAGGTTAGTAAGAACTGTGAGCATCCCAATATGCAGTGTTTCATTCAGTGATGGATAGGGCCGCACAAATTGGGCAGGGGGGAATCTAATTCCCCCTCCTCCCCCCCAAAAAAAAAATTATCATAGCTGATCATAGCAACATGGATATGTTGCACGAGCTCTGCAATTCGGTCATGTTTATTTATATAGCACTTTATACAATAGATTGTTTTTCATGTTTAATATGGTAAAGCAGCTTGATTTTAATCAGTTTCTGTCAGTGTCTCATTAAGTACAACTTAATTTTCTACTATAAAGCAGCTCTCCAGTGTGTTGATGTTTTCACTTGGTTTGGTTCGTGGCACTGTGTTCCCAAATGCACATTATAAGCAACCCAAACTCAGAGCAGATGAAAATGGAGCTGTATTTTCTGCGAACCGATCCACTGAAAACACCAAATCATGAACTGCTTGTGCTGCATAAATGTGCATTTAATTACATTGCAGCTTTTGTGAATTGATAATAGCCATATTGTTTTCTTTTTTTTTTTCAGTGAATCATTCAGCCCTAGTAATGCATCTAAATACTCATACCTTTCTTCTGTGCAGTGTCTGGATGATAACGTCTTTCTGAAGAGACATTCAAAGCTTGAACTTGATGAGAAGAGGAGGAAGAGGTGATGCTTGTTTATTTTTTTCTTTTCTTATGTGTAGTGTCCAGTAGACAAGAGCATTGTGAATCTATTTCTCTAATCTCGTTTCTCTTTTCTAGGTGGGATATCCAGCGTATTCGGGAGCAGAGGATGTTTCAGCGCCTGCAGCAGAGGATGAACCGGAGAAAGGTCATTCAGGAAAGCGAACCAGAGCTGCTCTCCTTCTATCCAGACCTTGAAGATGGTATGTAAGCGGATGGATTCCCCCCCATGTGCCTTGAAAGTATTTGGTCCTCTCTTTTAATGTGCTTATTTTTTGTGTATTTCCTCAGTCGAGTCTGTTATGGTGACACCCTTTTTGCCAGTGGTGGCTTTTGGAAGACCTCTTCCCAACCTGAAACAGCAGTAATTTAAAAATACTTTTTGTTTTGCACAATGCTTATAATGTTTATTTTGATATCTTGATTTTAATTGCAAAATTTAAAAGTAATTATTTGTCTGTATTTCAACAGAAACTTTGACTTGCCCTGGTTTGATGAGCGTAGTCGATGTCGAGCAGAGATGACCAAGAAACGGACGCCTCATCGGACATGTCGCAAATGAAACCATCGTAAGGAAGTTGCTTCTTTCGTACCGTCCTATGCGCTGAAGCAAAATCTTGCCCTTGTGTTCTTTTCTCTCATACTCACCTAGATTGTCGGGGGCTCCCTAAAATCCCCTGCTTGGCATCCATAAGAAAAAGTGTTTTGCTCTATAATGCCTAAGAAACAAGCTCTCCCAATTACACACCCATGATCATAATGCTGAATGTAACACTTCAGTTTTTCACGTTCACGACCAAAGCTTACCCTAACACATCAAGAGCTGCCGTATAAAAATATATATATATATCAAAACTATGCTGCATTTTTGTTGATTGTGTGTGAGTTCTCTCAGTCCCATAAAGGGAATGAAACCGGTTAACTGAAGTCTCTGTTGTAATATAAGGTTTTGTTCAAAGAAAATGTGTAAGATACTTGTAGCTAAAGAAATTATTTCAAATATTAAAATGTCATATTATGGATATGGATGTGCTGTGTCTTCATGTCTTTTGTTTTTAATGACTCATTGTTCTGATTGCTAAATTACAGAATTCTAATGGACCTTTATGTTTTGCTAGAACAAAGTGTACTGGAATGGGATGCAACTGGAAGCCAGTGGAATGAGATCAGAAGGGGTGCAATGCAGTTTCCTCGTTTTTTTTCTTCCATAAATCTCATATGCTCAGCTGCAGTGTCTTGGTTCAAAATTGATGCAAACAAATCAAATCACTGCAGTCATTAGTTTTAAAAGTATTAACCTATACCGTGTGTGAGAAATGTGTGAAATAATAGGTACGTTTTTCATAACAAAAAGAACTGCGGCAAGTTCTGTAAATGTAAAAAACAAATATTACCGCCATGATGCATAATAAAATATACCTTACTAAATAGACCATATTTGTGTACTGTGGTGCTCCAATGAACTTCAAAGAGCACAACGGCACCTTTCCAAAACAATATATATATGAAGAGTTCAGATGCAAAAGCCTCTAAATGCCATTTGAATTAAACTTGTATATTTAAGTTCAGTAATTTCACTTAAATAACAATTAATAGGTAATTATCATTGCCATTTAAGTGAAATCACTGAAGTAAAATATACAAGCTTGATAAAAATGATCATTCTAGAAGAAAATTTCAAATGGCACTTCATATATTAAAACTGGTTACTCTTCATATATTAAAACTGGTTACAATGATACTTAAAATGTGTTTCGTACTGAACTATATGTCAAGGCAGTGCTGCATGATCTATTTTGTTTGTTTATTTTTTATTTATTTTTTTGCCTCAAAAAATGTACTGAATTATCACTTTTTTTTACCTTGATACTGAAAATAAATCATACTTTACTATTTATTATCATGTACTTGCCTAAAAAAAACCCGAAATGAATGAATGCATATTTCACAACAAAAGGAAACCAGTGATGTAATATGGTTTTAGACCGCATTGTGTTTGTTACCAACCAGGTTATTGTAGCACGTGGATTCACAGAAACGAAACCGCGCAGAAATTAATTTCTCATTCATCGTCACGTCACTGACTGAACTACCCATGCTGGAACTACCCACTGGCGCAACTTAATTATTTTGCTTCCAAAATATTTTATCCACAAATGTAAAACTATGAGAGTTACCCCCAATTTTTCTCACTTTCAAGAAGATGTTAAGATTTATATCAGAACCTTATCTACCTCTTGTAAAAAAGGCTACTAAAACTTTGAATGAATAACTAAAATTAAAATAAATAGAAAAAAAATTCTCAGAATTTTTTTTCTATTTATTTTAATTTTAGTTATTTATTTATTTTTTAATTTTTTTGTGGGGAGTATAGTTTTTACATGAAACTTCCTCTTTTTTAATTTTCTGATTGTTTAAGTTATTTTTATTATATTTTTTTTGTCTTTCTCTTTGAATTCCAATGTGATGTAATATGCATCAATCCTTGAACCTCTGGTTCTTGTTTGTGATTTAAAGCTTTTTACTTTTGTATTATGTAAATAATTTTTTAGTAAATAAAAATAAATAAATACATAAAAACTACCCACTGGCGCGCGTCTCCTCCTCTGACGCACAAGAGGATATGACGAACTTACGAGCCCCCACAATTCCCCGCGCAGATCCGCTTTCCTTTCCTTGAGAGTTAAGATGGCGGACCGGCGGCGACGGAGACGGCGCGCCTCTCAGGACAGCGAGGAGGAGGACGAGTCCGCCTCGGGCTCCGAGAGCGGGAGATCTTCCTCGGCCAGCCGGAAGCCTCGCGGAAGAGATCCCGAGCCTGTCGAAGTGCCAGTGGAGCGCGTCGCCACTAAAAGAGACGATGAGTCGGAGTGTGTGAGTGTGTGGCTATAAATCTGCTTTTATAATCAGGGCCGATCTGAGTGTGTTCGGGCTGTAAGTGTTTCAATCGCTCTAAACACTTTTAAATGTGGGTTAAGACGTGATATAAACGTAGACGATGATGTGGGGTTTTCGTCTCCAGCCTTTGATAGATGTTCAAGTGTCTAACGACGTTAACAGTCGCCTATTCCTAGCCCTTTTGCAGGGTCCTGTACAATCAATGATGTGTCTATGGTAGCCTACTGTTAAATGTAAATTTAGTGCTGATCTCCTTTGACCTTAAAATGACTAGCGTTCCATCATTTAACCCAGTGGTTCTCCATCCTGGTCCCGGAGGTTCCCCATGCCCTTCATGTTTTAGATGTCTCTCCTCTATCCTACACCCCTAACTTAACTTATCAGCTCAGTAGGCTTACTGTTAAGGAGACCCCTGAGACGTCTAGGACCTCCAGGCGTAGAGCTGAGAAACACTGATCAAACCTGATATTTAATTCTTGCGTGTAATGGCAAGTACATCCGGTTGGCTTGAAGATGCTGCATAAGTCATTTAAGTTTTTGATAAGCAAATCAGATGACATTTGTGAATCCTAGATATTTGGCTTCTGATCTGGTCTGTCACTCTGGCTTTGTTGTTCCGCAATGAGAAGAGCAAGATCTGCTGACCATGAAGAGGAAGTTCAGCATGGTTTTTAAACTGGATGTTATGAACTATCAAGTTTGCCATTGTTGGTAATTCTTGGGTTGGAGATGTAGACAAGGCTTTAATTGATTAAGTGTGCTTTGTTTGTCTGGATATTTGATTCTGATCTCTTTCTATTAAGGAAAGTGAAGATGGCGTTGGTGAAGGTGAGTGTATATCTTTCACTTTTTTTTTTGTGTGTGCCACAACAAGCTAGCAAGTATCTGCTTTCAAATTATGAACTGCTACCACTTTAGTGTGGACCTGTGATTTCATGTTATTAACTGTCACTCTTGATGACTAGTTCTCTAGTCATGTTATTTGCTCTCAGAAATGAACAGACTTGCTGAAATGGCTGACTTCTTTTCTTCAGCAGTGCTATCAGACTATGACAGTGCTGATCTGGAGGAGAATGGATCGCACACGGAGGTAAGTCTCTATGGCAACACAGTTTGGGGGGAGGACTCACTCGATCAGTTCTGTTAAAGACAATGGCCTGATGAATCCACACAGATCCAGACGGGGCTGTCAGACCGCTTGCTGGGGTGTGTGTGGGGGTACAGAATGTCTCCGTTACAGGCAATTTGGGTTTTTGCTCAGTCATTGTGAGAGCACTACCCTTTTTTTGTGGAGAATTTGGATTTGAGAGTGTGATTATGGTTTAATTTAGTTGTTTTGAATGTGAAGCTGGAATGGACCTGCCTAATTTATGATCCAGAAAGAACTGATTTAGAATAGACTCAGCTGGGAGAGATTTTCGTAAGCATAAATGTGGTTTGCTCCTCTCTCGGGGCATTATGAGTACTGCCAATGCCGAGCCCCATGCTGTTAGTGCATCTGTAGTCCTCGTCTAATTTTAGTAGACCTGGAATGGTGCACCGTCCACACTTTTTGCTACTCTTCATCCTTATGCAAGTAGCATTTTGATAATTGCAGGACTTGTCATTAGGTAATTTAGGCATATTAGAGAGCGCTCGGGATAATTGGTTGTGGCACCTGGCAAGTGGACTTGGATGAGGGTTGTAGATCTCAGCTCACCCGGTTCAGTCTTGGATGCTGATGTTCACTCCACTTTGTTTGGTGTCCTAGCAACCTGATCGTTCAGACAGACCTACGTAAAGCTGGCTTTCATTCACTGCAGACAAACACAGACTGCTCAGGGTTTTCCGAACGCTGTGTTTAGGGGAGATTTCAAAAATAGGGAACAGCCATGATAAATGTGTATTTAGTAAGCTGGGAATGATTTTGTTTTGTAATAACATGTGGTATACCATGTCTTGTGGTGCAGATACTATATAAACAGTGAAAATAAACACATGAGATCAAGAATGTTTTGTTAAGTATTCAATTTACTAAATTCCTGAAAAATAAAAATGTGTGTGTGTATAGACCATTTCACAAGATGTAAACAACACTGGTCCAGAAGCACTTCCTGCTTCAGTTTGTAACTGTTTTCTTTATTTCACATGTAAAGAAAACATCTTAAAGATGTTTGTTTAACTTTTTGATTCAGTTTTAAATGTTCTGTTGGTTGTATTTTATCCCAGCTTTTATGTAGTGTTAAAAAACGGAAACAGGAAGTGCTTCTGGACCGGTGTTGTTTACATCTTGTGAAATGGTCAATATATATCTTGTACACCCCTATTTCTGATTCAGTGAAATCAATTGATTATAGTACAACAAAAAAACAAATACTATTTATTAGATTTAGCTTTTATATATTTATGTGCTTTTGTCATTTTCTATTTCCATTTTTATTCCAGCTTTAGTAATTTGGGTACTTAAAACATATTTCACTTGGGCAACATTTCTAATTGAGTTTTTCATATTTATATATATTTTTTTTCATCCTTGTTTAATGAACAAAAAAAATATTTTAAAATAGGTTTTCATTTTTCTAATGGATTTTTTTTGTATTTTTTTCCCTGGTTTGAATATGCTGATATTTTTCATATTTTAAGGTTGCCCTTGTCGTAGAGTAATCACACTTAGTACAGAGCAATATTAATTGTCAATGTGTTCTTTTAAGGGTTATTTGCTTGCAATTATGCATAGTTTACATTGGTTTCTCTTGCAAGTACATGTAACATGTAACAAGCACACTGTAAAATAAAGCGTTACCATTTGTTGTTGTAGTTTTGTGGTTCTAAAAATTGTGTGAACATTTTTGGTTTGTCTTTCCTGACCTGGGAATTTGGTGTTTGTGTTCCTCTCAGGGAGGAGAGGATGAGGAGGAAGGAGAGCATTTTAGTGACGACGAAGCCTCACGTCCTGCTGCAGAACCAAAGCCCGCTGCTGATGCTCCGACAGAAGAGCTTGTTGAAGCGGAAGAGAGAGAGAAAGTTGTCAAGGAAGTTAAAACAGATGAGAAGGAGAATCTAGCCGGGGAGCGACAGAGTGGGGATGGACAGGTATGGAAGAACAGAGCATTGCATTTTTTTTATAAACGATTTATGATGAGCCAATACAGTTTGTTAATATACAGTAGCCTAGCGAAGGACACGGTGAGCTGCTGCGATGGCCTCCAAAATAACTTGTTAGATATAGTATGTGTATAGATTCTTATGTGCTATGCGTTTGAGATGTGGTGTTTTCCTCAGTGCATAACTTGCATTTCACAGGTAGATTCTCCATCTGTAAATGTTGAAGTCTCCACTAAACTTCACAGACTTTAGTAAACGAGCACCATATTTGTTGTCAGACATTAAATGTGCCATGTAGAATTGTAAACCTACAAGTAAGTGTATTTTTATGACGGCAGTAACTGTAAAGTAACTAATGTAATAGGGTAATGAAATGTAGGCTAATAATCTTAAACTCACATTAGTTAATGTATTCCTTTTACCTGTTAACGTTTTAGTCTGTGCTTTTGTTTTTTAGTTTCAATTGTAATTTAGTAATTATAACTTCAGCTTTAAAATCCATGGAATGCCATTTAAACTCTGTATTACCAAGAACCTTTAGTTTGAAACAAATAAATAAAACTGCCACACTGATGTTCTTAATTGTAAATTATTTTAAGCCAAAAGTTAAGACTCCTAAATGATTACAGGAAAGCACAGAGGACCCTGAGAATAAATCAGGAAGTAAAGGCCAGAAGCTGGATGATGATGAGGACCGGAAGAATCCAGCTTACATCCCCCGAAAAGGCCTTTTCTTTGAGCATGATGTGAGAGGCCAGGCTACCGAGGAGGAGAGGTGAGAGGATTATAAGCTACTCTAAAATCATATTATAATGAATAGAATTAGTTTAAGATGAGTTTCAAGTGTTGAATTTTTCTATGCACTCATGTCACCAGGCCTAAAGGCAGACACAGGAAGTTGTGGAAGGATGAGGGCCGATGGGAACACGACAAGTTCCGTGAAGAGGAGCAGGCGCCAAAATCCCGCGAAGAGCTTATCGCTCTTTATGGTTATGACATCCGCAACGGCGCAGGGCAGAGTGATGGACGATCGTACCGCTCCCGAAAACCCAGGTGAGGTCATGTTTATTTCTTTGCCGTTATTATTAAACCGTGGTGAACAATTTGTGTTCACCACGTTAATTATTATTACGGAACAAATTGTGTCTCTGATAAAAAAAGTATCTGTTAATTCTATAAACTTTATAGAGAGCCTTTACTTGCTTCAGTTGCTATTTATTTTTAGATGAATTAAACACTCAAATAACAAATTGTATGTAAACTGCACATATGGCAGTTTTTGCATTTTTGAAACTCAATTTTGTTTTTACTCCAATTCATTGTTGAAATATAATCGTTTACACCCAGGCTGTCATTTGAGATATTTTAAATATTTAGGCTAATAGTGCATATTTAGCGAAAGAGTTCATTTCTCTACCTGAATAACAAGCTGTGGACACTGAATAAGTTGCCAGAGGTAGGCTAAATGTAATTCTACAGTGGGATATTGTTTACAAGCTGTTTTACTGATGTCTTTCCGCAGTTGAAACACTGAGCGAATACACAAGATGTAATATGTTTCAGTAAGTTGTACCGTATCTTTCAACATGCCTTCAAATGTACATACATTTTTATTTGGAAGCGATCGTGTTCGCTCGCGCTGCTGCTTAAACTGAGTTGCCGATGTAGTGATCTGTCATGCCATATTTAAGAGCGTCAAAACGCCATTTGGTTGAATTTCGTGATAAATTTACATGATTTGAAAATGTTTTTGTTTAGAACATTTTTGTTTCTTATCGAAAGTTCTAAAGCGCGGTTTGGCTAAAACGTGTTTTTGTCTTGTGCACATATTTTATAAAATCTCAAGGAGGAAAAATTTGTTTTGTGATATAAGTGAGGTCAACCTCAACTATTGGGGCTTTCGCACCAAAGGAATCTTTTCATAGTTCCTGGAACTATTGGTAAAAGTACCTGGATGTCACGTGTTCGCACCCTGGGAACTAGGAATGATTTGAGGAAGTAATTTAGCTCTTACTTCAGAGTAGGGACTAAACCAGCTCTATAGGAACTATCTGTGACGTTATACGTGGATTGACCTAAGGCACACAAAGCCATTTTTAAAAAAGCTATGTAAACACGGATTGTAGCCTATATGTTTACTCCAGAAACTAAAAATATGAATTTGGGAAATCAGTGATAGATTTATCACGTCTTAACCTTGACACTGTGGAGAAACCTCAACTTTAGGGTGATCAAGCTGAACATGATCATGTATTTCTGCTCAGTTAGTGACACTGGGCATAAACCACACGGCACACGCTTATAACTTTTCATATACGGTCTACTTAATGTTTAACAGTTCAATCTAATGACTTATTAGACAGATTGTAAACTTAATGAACACGGAGAACACAAGCACTGTTTGTTTGCTGTGGCGTTTTTAGTGCCATCAAAATAAGTCACAACAGCGAGTGGTGTTTGCGTCACTTCAAAGTTCCTACTGGCATTGCGAATGCAACAGGAAAACGTTCATAGGGGAACCATTAGTTCTCGGGGAACCACCCTGGTGGCCAGTTCCTAGAACTATCCGATGCAAAAGCCCCTAAATGGGCCAGGGCAGGGCAGAACGGGCTATTCTGTTGGCTATTCTGTTCTAAAAAGTATCAGTGTTTAAAAAAAAAAATCCCAAAAAAATTCTGAATATTAGAATATTTTCTGATGGATCATGTAACACTGAAGAGTAATGATGCTGAAAATTGATCTGTGATCTCATTACATTTTAAAATGTAGACAAAAACAGTTTTTTTTTTAATTATAATTTTCTCAATTATTTATTTATTTTTTTTCATGTTTCATTGCAGATATTCTGGTTCACCCAGTCGGGAGCCTAGGCGCCACCGTGACGGAGAGAAGTCTTTGCGTACAACATGGCAGGGGCCTCCACCTGGCCACCGCAATAGCCCTCAATCTGTTACCCTACAGTCAGGTCCACCTCCTGCTCCCCCTGCAGCACCCAAACCCTCTGGGCGACCCTCGACTCAACCTCCGCAGCGCAGCTTCCAGGGCAGTCGACCCTCGTCCGCCCCCCATAGGACAGAAGGTCGAGGATACCCAAAGCCTAGTCTAGACGGCCCGCCACCTCGAGGTGTGCGGCCACAGCCTGGGGAGGGTGAAAGGGGTCCGAGGCTCAGAGGCCGTGGCTCACATGCTGTTCATCCTGACCGTAGCCCAGCCGTGGTGGTGGAGGACATCCGCAGTGAGGAAGAGGAAGAAGAGGGTGAGATTCCAACAGCCACGACTACATACACCGCTCACCACTACAAGACGGAGAGAGAAAGGGTTCCGTCACCACGAAAGCAAGATCCAGGCCAAGTGATGGACGGGGGCAATGCAGCCGGTCAGGTGCGAGAATCGTCTCCACCTCAGGAGAGGCCGGTGGAGAAGAAATCGTACTCTCTCGGGCGGAGGGCTACGCGAACTCGACCGTCTGATCTCAGTAAGCAGGCGTCGTTGGATGACTCTTCGCCCACGGTCCAGCAAACCCCAGCGAAGAGCGAGTCGTGGCAAGAGCAAAGTGAAGCAGGAACACAAGGTGGATTAACAGGGCTCGACCAGGACCTGGCCCGCCTTAGTCTGGGAGGGCAGAACTGGGCCCAGAGCCCACCCTCATACCTGCAGGCTGAGATGAGAGGTCATCATTTCTTTTTCTATAATTATAAACCATTTTTAAGAATCTTAAACCATTTTTTAAAAGTGCATCTTGCATTTTTGTCCCTAACAGGCATCCGTGGATCCATGCACATGGCAGGAGGCCCTCCACAGTACGGAAACATGGAGGATCTAGTGAGTTAGCTGGTCCAGCTATAATTCCCTACAAAGTCTAAATAGAATTAAAAATCCATGCACCATATTTACTGCGATAAAAGTTGCATTTAAAGGTACTGCAACTTGCATTGCAAATAATATAATTCATGTCAAGTATGCCAAAATGAAACATCCAACTGTGCACTTTGCATACATGCAAATAAATGTATCAAGGGTTTGTTTAATAAATGCCACTATAGTTATTTCAGTTCTGAATTCTGTTAAATTTAAAGGATTTGCTGTGGAGTGAGGGGAACTCACAATTTGTGTTTATAATGTTTGTAAAGGTACCACACAGCTGCAAGCTCGCGTTTGTCTGGGTCCATTTTGAGTGCAACGCCTACATCTTAAAATCTTTTTCAAAATGTCTTTTGCACTCAAATGAACATCACAATATGGAAGAAAAGATAGGTCTTGGTTTTCATTTCATCACCACTTTAACACTGATCATATGTTCCTCAGTAAAGGCCAATTCAGCAAAAAATGTCAAATTACATGAAAATGATTCTCACCTAGATCAATGCACTGCTGTAATGTACAAAGGAACTCAGTTATAGAGTACAATTAAAAGAATGATGCAGGGTGAATGCACACTATGCATGTGGCGTGTAGGGTTTCATCAAAATATAATTTTTATCAAATAAAAATGGATGCTGATTTAGAGATATATTACAGCCTTGCATTTCATCAGTTATTTCTTGTTCTCAGGGTGTTGGTGGTGGCCGGGCTAAGCGGTATTCATCACAGCGCCAGAGGCCAGTTCCTGAGCCTGCGCCCATGCACATAGGAGTCATGGAGGGCCATTATTATGAACCTAGTGAGTGCAGTACTACTCTTGGTCTGTAGAGGGAGTTGGATCACATACATGTCCTAAATTCACCTACTGAATGTAGTAATTATTAATGATTTATTTTTATAAAATCATCATGCATGTAAGATAACCATCATGTCTTCGTGCAGTGTCTTTCCAGGGAACAATTTATACGCATGGGGACAGTCCAGCAGCCCTGCCCCCTCAAGGCATGCTTGTTCAACCTGAAATGCACCTGCCACACCCCACCCACCCCGGACACCCAGGTGAGAGATGTGAACAACTGCTTGAAGTTGACTCTTTGCTATCGCCGGTACACCATTGTTGGTAACGAGATATATATAAAAATTCAATGTAGCGTTCTATTTTCATTAAATTGCACGTGCATCGCCCTTGGTCTTTTCACATATCACGTCTAAAAACGAGTGCTTGGCTGTGCCGCTTTCTCCTTTCCTAAGCCCTTGCGCCTATCACGTCAATGCACTGGCGGGCTTTAGCGGGTGCATTATGTATAATATGTTATGATGAACTGTTGTTCAATGAACTGAACTGTTGAAGATGAGATGTTCAAAGCGTTTCTACGGATGCTGATTGTTAGAATGGAGCTGCCTGATCTTATAATGACTGATTTCTCTCTGGGGATGTGTATAGGAGTTCTCAAATAATTTTGTCTGCTTAAACCCTGCCCCTTTCTTATAATCGACAGCATGCTCGCATTCAGATCTGCCTTCATCCAAACAACCAACGGATAGAACCAAGCCCGTAAATTTAGATCTGTCTGTCTCTGTCGCTTATGTATGATTCCTCATTTGTGTTGTTAATACTCCAAAAGGAGGCTTTGATGTCATTTCAACATTAATGTTTCAAATTTTTTTCTTTTTCAGGCTTGCATCCGCACCCGTCGGGAGGGCCCATTCCCAACCCAGCTCTTTATGCTGCCCCACCCGTTTCTATGTCACCTGGGCAACCGCCTCCACAGCAGCTGCTACCCCCACCCTTCTACCCTCCACCAGGTGTCATGACCTTTGGGAACACCAACTACCCGTACCCAGCCGGAGCTACGCTACCTCCAATGTACCCCAACCCCCAGGTGAGCCTGTTTGTCTATAAATAAGTGTTTTGATACTTAAATATTTAATCTACTTGTATTTATATTCCTGTGATCAGTGCTGGGTGAAATACTTAAATTACTGACAGAACATTTATTCCATTGTTTATTGACATGCTGTGTATTAAAACAATATTATGTCAGGGTTTCCCAAACTGGCTTTTCTGAAGGAACTACACGGGGTTTGTAAATGTATGTAAGTCTTAAATGATAAATCAAAATAAAGACAGTCAAAATAAAATGCTTTACTAAAAGTATGAAATATTTTACTTATCCTGTGGCTTCTCAATTGTGTAATTATAGCTGTCTGACTAGAGCCGGCCTGTGTGTGCCATTTCAAACTTAAATATAGGCTTATCTGGAAATGTAGCCTAAGCTATAGACTTTTTTTTTTTTTATAAAAGAAAAATGTGGGGGATAAAATCATTTATGAATAATTTACTTCAATTTGTAAGTATTATTACAATAAAAAGTAACTAGTCTTATGATCATTTTAAAACTTAGACTAATTACAACTATTTTCTTTTGTAATCTGATTCCATATAATTAGTCACTACCCAGCACTGCCTGTTATACTCCTAGTGGACTATCTAGATTTTTGTACACCTCTGCATGCTTGACTTCCTTCTGTGCGGTGTCACTCTCTTCAGGCACAGTCACAGGTCTACGGTGGTGTGACGTACTACGACACGATGCAGCAGCAAGCTCAACCCAAACGTTCCCCGCCGCGACGTTCCTCTCATCCTGTTACAGTCAGACCTCCCCCTCCTGAGGTAACAGCATATTACATTCAGCAAGGAGAGCTCAATCAGGTGATTTCTAAAGATGCACATTGCTACCATATTGGTTGCCTGCTGTATGTACTATTGTTTGTTCGGTATTGAATATTTTTATTAATGATCATTTTCTCTGCTTAGATGACCTAAAATGAATATGTTTTTCATAACGCAAATTTCAGTCACAAAATACAATTGTGCTTGCTTGCACCAAGATAAACTACTACTAAAAAGGAATATATATATATATATATATATAACAATTTTATATATACATTTATATTTACTAATTAATAACTAATCGTTTTTTATAAGTGTGATAGAATGGGTTGCCACAGTTTACATTGCATTTCTGTAGAGTGTTATATTAACAGCTGATGTTCCATCCATCAGGACCAGAGCAGAAATCCCGCTGAGGAAATCCACTCCTAGCTGCCAGGGGGCGAGGAGGCAACGTGTCCGGACCAGCACCGCTTTTGTATAAATTGAATTCATCATTTAGGCTTTGCCTTTTAGTTGTTTTATTATTATTTTTCCGCCTTGCTTAGTTTCACTGTCTTCATCCAAGGTTCTGTTTGCAGGTGGTTCCTTCCTGTTGTACTTCCATTCATAACAAGCGAAGTGTTTTAGCATTGTTCAGCTAGGAATGAAATATGCAGTCTTGAAACAGCGAGACATTTGATTTTTCATTAGCTGCTGTATTCCTGATGCTGACGGACTAATTGAAATTAGGCGGCTGGACATCGAGTGGTTTAGTTGGTTCTCTTTCTTTTAAATTGCCTTTTGCTGTGTTTAATTAAAAAAGGAGAAAAGCACCACAACAAACTTCAGTATGTGAAAAGATGGACCTGCATTTTTAATTGTGAACGAGCGGTTAAGAGTCTGAAATCAGCCAGCGAACATCTGTCGTATACCTTCAAATGCACAAATCAAAGACCTTTTTGGGTCAAATGAATTCCTTTTCACGTGTCTTGTCAGTTTGAGACCGCTGTATCATTCTGACTGCGTAACTTGGCGTGATGGTGCTAGTCCCACTTCAAAGTGGTCCTGAACCCCTCAAACCTCGTCTTTCCCCGTCGGTCTGGGTGTCCCTTGTATCTCTAACATTGTACTGTTGAATTCATTACTGTAATTCTATCGAAGCGAACTTTGGATCTTGCCAGATACTGACCTACTTGACAGTGGAACTCGCTTGATTAGCTTTCTATTGTAAGTGTACATATTAAAGTATATTAAAGCCAGTGGTTTAACGAATAATACTAAGAACTAATCATTTACGAAATGCTGTCAATATGAACAAAGCAAGCAGGGAAACCTAGCCACGCCTCTTCGACTTTAAATTCATTTTTTTAAAATTAATATGCAGTTATTCGTTTGTTTTTTCTTTTTTATAAATAGTTACGTTTGCAATCGTTTCTTTTGAGGCACACTGTACAGGCATGCATGGTTTTATAGATATATTTCTTTGTGAAAGCAATTCTAGATGGTGACTTTGGCTGTGAGCTGTTATTCTTTGCCCCACTGTGGGAGTGCTATGAATGCATCTTTTTCAATGGTTCCCTTTATGATTGTTTCCCAAATTAAACCTAACAGTATAACTGAGATGTCGTTGTTCCCTGCGTTGTTTAGACCTGGCTTGTAAAGACTATTAGAAGATGTTGTATTACTTTCTATGCCTTAAAGAGTTCATTGGTTTGACATATCTGTTTTTGTTTGATTAGACCTGACAACACTGTGAGGGCTTGTATGTTTCATAGATGTTTGAATAATATTAAGTGTTTCATTTTTTTTTCCCAATTTGTTTTGTGGAGCAATGTCAGGAGATGAAATTAAACGAGAACTAAATATATCATTCAACTTGTCCCGGCTATTTGGCTTGTTGATCATGAATTTTTTTTTTTTTGTGACTCGATGCACTTGTTTTTATTGTATACCATATTAGCTTTTTTAGGGTTTAATTTATGCAGTGTCTGAAATTGTATTATACTTAAATCCACATGTAGCATTTGACAATGACTAGAATCTAGGGCTGTCAAACGATTAATTGCGAGTAATCGCATCCAAAATAAAAGTTTGTCTTTGCGTAATATATGTGGGTGCACTGTGTATTAATTATTTTGTGTATATAAATACACACACATGCATCTATATTTAAGAAAAAAATATTATTTATATATAAAATATTTATATACAATATAAATCTATATACAGTATATACATGAAAGTACTTCTTAAATATATTCAAGCGTGTGTGTGTGTTATAATTATATTATATAATATAATTATACACAGTGCACCCACATATATTATGTAAACAAACTTTTATTTTGGATGCGATTAATCATTTGACAGTCCTATTAGAAGCAATAATTTTTAAATATTACAAGTTCATTTGTTTTATTTGGACAATCATTTTACAATTTTTATATCAGCCATTTATTTGTTTTGTCCATAATTATCAATGTACATAGGTTTGCCTAGTTACTTCCATTTTGCATTAAATTTTCAAAGACATTTAAAAATCCACGTAATACATTATTTTAGTACCACTCGCCTTAGTAACAGTAAATTATGCATAATTACATGCAACTATTCCTCAACCTAACCCTATATTAGTACATGTAGTTAATTAAAATTACTCGGTACTTAAATATGTAATTACATTGTAACAGTGACGCCCTAAAATGGAGTGTGACCAAAATCAAATATGAGCAATATTATTAGTGGTATTCTAGTTAGTAAATGGAGAGAATGGTGGACCCTGCGTTTGCCTGCGTTGCTGCCTGTGGTTGTGTGCTAAACTCAGACTTTGCCAAAAGCGAATTCTGCCTTCTGCCGTATCAAACCCTGCCAAGAGAAGAGTGAGAGAGTGATGCCGCCGGCCCGCCGCTTAAACTCTTCTAGAACAACGCGCCTCAAAACTACACTTCAGCCAGCACGAGCGCCGTAGTCGCACTGGGATTTTAATATTCGTTGGAGGTAATTTGACGTTTTCCTTTGGATTTATTGTGTTTAACTTGTTGCGTTTGCAACTGTTATTTAGAGAAATAAAAATAAAACTTCTGTTTTCCACAGGCCGTAACTACGCCTGTGTAAAATCATACGGCTTAGAGACTGTTTTCTCCAGTAAACATGCATTGCCTTTTTTTAAATATACGAGAAAGACTTGATCGTAGACCATTTCAGCAATGTGAAACCAAACCAAAAGTTTGATTCGGCACAGAAAACGTTTAGTGACGTCGTTGTCAGTGCTTCAGAATGTCCACTTGAGGGAACTAGTGGCTTTATTCTTCAGTGCTGATCTTTCACACTTTTCCACACAAACCGCACTCAGTCTTCAGGCCTACAATAAATACTGTGGTATAGCTGAACGTTTGTTTATTTATATATATATATATATATATATATATATATATATATATATATATATATAGTTTTCATCTCCCTGGCTCTTAATGCGTCATGTTTCCTTCTGGAGCATCATTGAATGTTTGAACTTTTTTAATAGTTGTGTTTGAGTCCCTCAGTTGTCCTCAGTAGGAAAAGATGGATCTCAACTGCTGGAAAACTGAAGAATTTGCAGGACCTGAAGGATTTTTCTGAAGAACATTGGGCAGTTTAACTGCTCAGGCCCAACAAGGGACTCAAGAAGAACCAAAAACAGTCATGGATCATCCAGGTAACTACACAGTATTAAGAATCAAGGGTAGGCTATGTAAACTTTCAAACTTAAAAAGTTCAGCTATTATTTTGTCTCGTGTACTACATGTAACTAACTACATCTTTTGAGCAAATTATCTCATTCAGGACAGTACTAAAAAAAATATAGCCTATATATAGCTGCAAGCAGCAATTATCGGGGCCAAGCACAAAAAAAGACATGCTATCATGGATGGGAGTGTCAGACCAACTGCACCAATGAGCAATTAAAAACATTTAAAGATGATTTTAGGCAAAATGGCTGAAAATCATACATACAATAAGTAATAAATATGATTTAATGGATTATCACTTTCAGTGGTGCAGTTATGAAATGCTTTACTGCTGTGGTATACGAAAACGGTTTTGTCCATCAACACAAAATCCATAACTTTTAGTCGACACGGTCTGGAGATGATACGATTAAATTTTGGTGGAAATTGGACAAACAGTCTAGGGGTTTGGAAAAGTAGGTAATGAATGAAAATAACCGTTACTAACCGTTTGAACTAACTAACCAGCACTAACCGTTTTCGTGAACGGTTTGAGGAATCAACTTGAATTCTATAACTTTTTGTCGGCATGGTCTGAAGATGATTTGGGTTAATTTTCATGAAAATCAGAGCAACCGTCTTGGACGAGTTCGAAGAAATAGGTTTTTCAAAATGGTGGAAAATTATTCATAACATTATATGGCTTGAGCTAAGGAGCCAGAGGAATCGAATCGTCTTGAGCTAAGGAATCAGAGGAAACAAGATTTTTGTTTCTAGCCCTCACAGTTAGTTTATGCTAAGTTATTAGCATAAATGTGTGCAAATTTGGACAGTTGGTGGCGCTAAAGGGATTGAATTAGAGAATCTTGTTCAGACTGTACCAGAGTGCCAAATTCCATAGACTTCCATGGTGGAAGAACAAGAAACATAAGAAAAAAGAAACATAAGAAAACGCACTTTCAGTGCTTGGCCACTAAAAACATGCATTTTGTATGATCCCTCTTATTTTGTTAACATAATTAACATTTAGCAGATTCTGCAAGGTGTAGGCTATGTCCAAAAAACTGAGTAGGTTTGAGCCTTTGACTTGTACTCTACATGGAAATTATCTGAAAAGATTCAGCTTCACTGGAAGTCTATAAATAGTCTAATTTCTGAATAACCCATGGCCTTTACCAGAGTGTCAACCTCACATAGAGCTTCTGTATTCACACTCTGCTTTCTGAAACCATCAACTGCCTCACTAAACCAAATCACACTTGCAAAGGGACTCAATTTGTGGCAACAGTTATATTAAACGCCATCAAATCGTGATGATCCGACTGAAACAATGGCTGCTTGACTGTAACACCCCAGTAGAAAATACCCTCTTCTGCCTTGTGAATAATCATAATGTGATTATTATGCACAGCAGTTGAAAGGAACAGTGAACGTCTTACTGACCTACTTATAGAAGTGTTTAGACTGCATTCACTCTTTTGTGATGAATGCTGGGTTGAACTTGGACCATGGGTTCATGTTGCGCAACATGTGAACTGCTGAGTGACCGTCATGTGTCACTGCTGAAAGGGTGAAACAGGAAGTCAAGGGTTTTGAGTTTCCATTTTTCTCAATTTACCAAGGTGCATGTATGAGTAAAGCATACTAAGGCACGTATTACTTGTTTTTCTTATATTATAGAATGAGGATTTGTTTTAAACCAGTAATAAGTGTTAACTATAAAGACAGTGATACCAGAAATCAGGTTGCTCTTGTTTGTCTTTTTTCACGCATTGAAGGATAGACCCGAGCCATATAGAGATCAAAATATTTAAGATTATTACTATTAAAGTTATTTTTTAATCCCTCTCCTCCTGTTTCCCTCTTTCATTGACAGCGACCCACATGCATACGTCTTCTCTGACTGACCTTGTCTATTCTCATCTGTTATGAATCTCTCTCATTCTGTCAGCAGTGACATGCACAGACTAGCCAAACAGGCTCCCTTTATATATATATATATATTTGCTAAACAATATGCCTTGATATTTTTCCTCCCAGACTGATGCAGTGTTTACAAATACATTCCACTGTCAACAATGCTTTCCCACAGCACAGGAAAGATGCTGATCACGTGGCTGAATTTGTTTGTACGCTGCATCTGAGTTCACTGAAACATGGCCTGATTTTGGCTTCAGGCCGCAGATGACCTGCAGAAACCTGACACACGTCACAGATTCTTTTAGAGTCACAAGCCCAAACACATTCCAATTTGTCGTGGGGTAAACATTAAGCAGGACCATATTTGCTGAAATATGTTATTATTTTTCTATAGATCAAAACTTTACAGATTTTTAATTATTATTTTTTGGAAATGTACTGAATGATTCAAATTAAGTTTGTTGTGTATATATATATTATATACATATATAGTATATATCTATAATACACACTGTATATGTGTATTATAGATACTATATATATTATATCTGTGTATATATATATATATATATATATATAATATGTGTGCGTGTTTGTGTGTGTATGTACAGTATATGTGTGTATTTGTGTATGTGTGTATGCGTGTTTAGGTGTGTGTATGTAAATGTATATGTATGTGTACAGACAGACAGACAGATATACATAAATAGATAGATACGTAAATAGATACATAGATAGATGAAAACGTTGTTTTAGAACTACATGAGGGTGAATAAATTACAATAGCATTTTATTTTCTGCACAAACCTTTCCTATTAGTATTCATGGAAGAACTTAGCCATGGATGAATCTTTATAAACTAGAAAAAACGACCCTAAACTGAACCCAGACTTTCAAAGATCCAGACAAACTGAAAAGTAGAATTGCCCAAAATCTGACACACATTTAAAACTCATGAAGTCTGCACAATTAGCAAACCTTCTTTGAGAGCTTTTGTCACCAATGCATTTTTAATGCTTTAAGTTGGCGGTCTCTGCATATTTAACGTGTCTCTCCTCTCATCCTTTTGTTTTATAGTAGAGATGCACATGGCCGAGGTGGGGTCTCCCCCTCTGGCTCTTGTGGAGTGACAGTAACCAAACAAAGCCCTCTGTCTCTCAGGGCGATGATGTCATGTTGGGTCCCCATCCCCCAGAAAGGACCAGGAGAGAGTGTGTTTATGTGGGTGTCATTAAGATTT